GAGTATAAAGAGGAAATAAGACCATACTGCACCAAACTCACAGTAGCCGAAACCGCAACGACCTTGAGAGGTCGAAATCGCAACATGATTACTATTTAAATTACTAGTTCATTCTTACCCTTGCATTCTGTCCAGTATGTCTGTATTCCAGTCGTCCAAATATGTCTTAAAACACCGATAGTCTTCTAAAGCAGTGTAAGCATTATTTTACCAGATGTTTACAATAAATTTCACGCAAGCTATTTAAAATTGGTAGTGATATCTTTTCTCGTTCAGTAAGTCTTCAGTCTTCAGTCTTCAGTAATAAGGATAGTAGGTTGATGAACCTGTGTTAATCCTGACACATTGCTTTCCAGTGAAGGTCCAGCTTTTCCTTGAAAGTATTCACTGATGGGGCTGATACCACTTGTTCGGGTAAGGCGTTCCAATGATTGACTACTCGATGAGAAAAACGGGATCCCACTTTAAGTTTATTAGATCGTGGTTTATGAAGCTTCTTGCTATGACCTCGGAGATTATTAGTGCTGGAGGGAGCAAGAAGATAAGACATATTAACACCCAAATCATAATTAAAGATACGAAATGCCAGTATAAGGTCACCTCGTGTCCTACGATACGACAAGGGGAAAAGATTTAGGCGTTTTAAGCGCTCATCGTAAGGGAGACTAGAAAGACCCTTCACTAATTTCGTTCCCACACGCTGGACACGCTCAAGGGAGTTAGTATCCTTTACCAGACACGGGCTAGCTGCTTGGATACAGTACTCTAAATGTGGTCTAACATATATGGGATATAAAATTCGAAACGTTTCCTCGTCAAAAGATTTGAACGCTCGGCGAAGTGACCATAACGCACGAAAACCTTTGACAGCGGCTGCTTTGCAATGCGCAGTTGTTTTTAAGTCATGACTTAATATTACTCCTAAGTCCTTATGCTCTTGAACGCATGGAAGAGGTTTACCCTCAATAGTGTAACGGTAACTATTACCGTGACCGACGTGCATTAGTACACTCTTCCTAGCATTAATTTCTAAACCCCACTCTCGAGCCCATCTAACTAAATCGTCTAAATCAGCTTGAAGATCCACACGATCAGCCGCACTTTTTATTGTTCTCCAGATTTTTACATCATCTGCAAACAATAATGTCGACGACCTAAGTAACAGTGGTAACTCATTAACGTAGAGAAGGAAGAGCAGAGGGCCTAAGATGGTGCCTTGGGGTACACCACTTTTGACCGGCTTCCAATCGGATAGCGTTCCATTGACCCTAACTCTCTGTCTGCGGTCACATAAGAAATTTCCTATCCACTCATGTACAGTACCTAGTATTCCGAAGCTCGTGAGCTTCTGCATAAGACCTATGTGTGAAACCTTGTCAAACGCTTTGCTAAAATCTATGAATATCACGTCGACAGACAGACCGTTATCTAGGGCTGCTGTCCAATCCTCCCTCGCAATAAGCAAGTTAGTCAGGCATGAACGCTTGTTACGAAATCCGTGTTGCTCAGGAGCTAACAGATTGTGTAAATCTATGTGGCTTAGCAACCTAACCCGAATTATCTTTTCAAGTAACTTAACGACTATGCTAGTTAGACTGACAGGCCGGTAGTTAGATGCTATCTGTCGCTGACCGTCCTTAAATATAGGACTAACTATAGCGTCCTTCCAATCTCTAGGGAGTTGGGCGAGTGAGAGGGACATGTTGAAGAGTGTCGCAAGTGGTTTCGAAATAATGTCCGCAAGAGATGACAGCAACCGTGGATGTAACCCGTCAGGGCCCGGTATCTTACCAGGTTTGAGGTTAGTTATCAACGGAAGGACAGTTTCCTTAGTCACCTGTACGGATTCAATGGTTGGTATCTCGGTGTGAATGGGACAAGTATTTGTTACAATAAACGTAGAGAAGACTTCGCTAAAATAATCTGAAAAAGTCTCAGCTTTAGCTCGATCTGATTCAGCTAGTAATTCTGAATTTTCGTGTAACAGCAACGGGGGAATACCATCACTACGTTTCATTTGCCGTTTAACATACGGAAACAGTCGTTTCGGACAAGTACGGCTATCATATACTAACTGTCGTTCGTAAGTGGTACGGGATTTCGCTATGGTTTTCTTACAGATATTACGGTATTTTTGATACTCACGCTTAAATGGTGCATGACCTGTCAACAAGAATAAGTCCCAGAAATGTTTCCTACGCTTCAACAGCTTCCGGGTTTCCTTATTAATCCATGGAGGGCAATGTGATAGCTTACGTGCTGACCATGGGATAAACGGCGACGTTACGGACTCGAATGTAGCCTTAAACTTATTCCATTCATCTTCGATCAATCCATCCGCGTCGACCGACCAATCAGTCGAGATAGCACGGTTTCTGATTTCCGGAATATTAGCTCGCCAGATATTGGGACGGGGTGGTGCAGATACGAATTGTATACCATGTGTCTTAAACTTAAAGTGAATTACAACGTGATCACTGTTCACTAGTGGAGGAAGGTGCTGGATATCAAAGACATCCTCAGAGTGGTGGGTGAGGGCGAGGTCCAGCAGTGACGGAACATGATGCAAATCAATATGTGTCGGTTTTGTGATACATTGTTCAAGTGCACACTGAATAACGGTAGATAAAAGGTCACTATCGAAACCGCTACCTGGAGCTGTAAGCTCTATCCAGTTGATATGCGGTGCGTTGAAGTCCCCAATGATGAGACAACATTCTGCCATACTCCAAGAACAGATGTGTCTTAGGATAAAGTCGTCAGCCAGACAAGACGGACTACGGTATATTCCCCCTATAGTCACTAACCCATTTCTAGATTTAATCTTACAACATGCAACCTCACATGTGCCACTGATATGAGCCTCCGATATGGTTGATTGTATACGAAAGTGACCCCTAACGTAAAATATTATACCTCCCCCCTTGGTTTTCATTGTGTAATATATAAGTCTCAACATTTTGTGTTCAGTGTCACTCAGTTTTACAGTTTTAAAAACATTTGTTTTGGAATTTTCTTGGTTTTTTCCACGCCTAAGGGAACCGGTTGTTTTGTTCACTTTGTAAGTTCATCTAGCAGATTTAATGGTGTAAACAGAACATCGTTGTGGAAGACTCACATGCTCCTTTCCAGTCAAGGATAGAATGCAATATGTCAATTGCAAAAGTGTTGTCACAACGTGTGCATCAAACATCGGTTGCATATAAAAGGTGTTTCAATTCACTAACACTTCTGTTGTGCAAATCATACTGCTCTGAAAAGTGGCTGATGGTTCTTAAGGCAGTGTGACTGTTGAACACAGCCAGAAGGGTGAACTTAGATAAACAGTAAGCACCAGATGATCAGGTGCGAGATCTTAAGTAAGCAACGATGACCATCATGAGTCTGCCTGAAGATCCGAATGAAACCACAAAGGTGGACCCCCATAGTTAAATGGATGTTAAATACACAGATGTAGGCGTGGCATAGCGAAAAAGCGCCCTGAGAGGAAACAAATTCCGGATAGCTCTAAGATATACGACTTGACGTCTTCAGCTGCTGATCCCCATATAATCACAAAGCAGGCTATGAATATGCAAAGAATAGACAGTGTGGATTTGATGAAGACACAAACTAAAGCCAATGATTGGTCCACTATAGTACCCAGGGACTTAGGCGAAAGAATTGAAACCTGAACTGTTGTCAACACATCAGACTGCGAGGACAAGAATAACGTTAGAAGCAAAACCTCAAAACATGTTAAAACGGACCTCGCAGAGACAACATTCGTTTTTACGTAAGTTAGGAGAATCTTCATAAAATGAACCAAAGGTTAGATTTGGAAAGGTTCTCAGCCAATATTATGTTCTTAATAAGCAACCTAATTTCAGAGACAGTGATAGAATTTGGCAATCTTAATTCCACATAATAGGATAAAAGTGAAATCTGAAAGAATGGGGGTAAACCGCCTAATAAAATTTACTTTTGTTTCTATAAAATTAACGCAAACTAACTTGGTGTGGAATACATGTACGTGTGGATATCGACCTAGTCGACAGTGTTACGAGACAATCAACAGAAGTAAAAATAAACGGTTAAAAATATCGAATAATGAAGGGTATTCACATCGAAAAGGCTCGTAGTAAAACGAACAAAAAACCATTTTAGATTGTACAGGAGTCTTTTCACGGAACCAACGGAATGCTATAAAAATCTTGTAGCTAACTAAACAAAATAGTTGAGCGCAAAATAGGTGGTGAACACAGAACACATTAGTGTCACAGCCATCTCAGAAACATGGTTAACGACAGAATTGTATGACGGTGAAGCTCCATTGCACTGACTCCAACACCTCTGAACTGTAGAGAAAGGGAAATTATATTAGCTTTAGAATACCACAATCCAGAATGTGTGGTGGAAGACATTATAGTAAATTAAAATAACCCAAAATCAAAAAGTTGTCGAAATGTTAGAGAGAAACATAAACAAACAAGTACTTTCAACACAAAACATCGTTTGTATGAACGTATTACCTCTGCACTATATTAGCACTATGTAATTCAGTTCACTTTTCTTACCTATCTGTATAATTAAAATTTCTAAATTGTCACTATTTCTATACACGGATTGTTACGGAAGAACTATACATTTGGCTTATTAAAACCCTTTTATTGTACATCAATAATTTTACTGTGTTTTTGGATGTATCTGTTTTACTTAACCTTTGAACTTGTTTGTTTATATCCTTATTTTCGCACATTTTGGTTTTTCTTTGTCAATGGTTTGGTATTTGAGAGCTTTTGCTCCGGGAACCTACAAAATTGAAGATCGACATACCGTACATCGATAAATAGAGCGAGCAAAAACTTGGACGTGACATACAGTTCTTCAATTTAAATTCGGTGTTCATACCTTGGATTCGTTTGGATATTTTGGGTTCCATTTCCTGGTCCTATTGGTCGATTTGGTTTCGATCATTTCAGATTTGTTTTGGTAATCGATTCTTTGGAACAAGGAATACGATGGAAACGCGGAGCAAAAAGCCGAAGGAAAATGACGAAATGGATGGTAAAATTTCTAAAGCTGTCTGTGGTATGTCTGATGTTAATGATGATAAATGTGATGATGTTAGTATTAATAGTATGTCCTCTGGTCAGCTTAGTACTTCTAGATTAGGGTTAGGTAAGGCATTACTAAGAAAAAGGAATTTAGAAATAAGACTTGAATTAGAATGGCAACTTAAGATGTTAGATCTCCAAGAAGAGGTTGATATGGCTGAATTAGAATGTAAGGTCATGGAGGACGGTAGCCAACTGCCCGTAGACAAATGAGGATAAATGCTAAGGTGGAAAGTTTTTTGGATTGTGATATTGGGTGTAATAATCATTCAAGGGAGGTATTTAACATGTCAAAGAGCGATTGGTTTGATGAGATGAAGGATAAATTACATACTATGGTTAATAATATGGTTTTACCCTAGATTGATATGATGTATTTTGATGGGCAACCGAGTCAGTACCACCGTTTTATTAGTCAGTTTACCAGCATTATCGAGAGTAAACTGTCCGATAAGGGCCAATTGTTGTCGTATTTGTTATACTATTGTAAGGGAAAGGCCAGGATGGCTACTGAAGCTTGCATTTCATCACCCATTAATTTGGGTTATGATAGAGCTAAACAGGTTTTGTATGACATGTTTGGTAAGGAACACCTTGTTGCTCTCAATCTGATTACTGTGTAGCGGTAAATAAATCCCCAAAATAAATAGCTCTGTAAGTTTTCGACATTGGATACCTGTACCATCTTCAATTGAGTTACTTAACCACAAATCTGTTGAAGAATCAGCCGATGTCTTAACTGACTTTGCAATTAAGCTTCGTAATGCATGCATAACATTGAAGGGAATGGGGTATATGTGTGATATGAATTCTCCGGCTATTTTGGCAAGAACTGTGTCATGTTTACCCCTAGAATTACAGAATAAGTGGGTGGAAGTTGCCGATAAGATCATGATGACTGGAAGGGAGCCGATCTTTGAAGAACTTGTGATCTTTGTACAAGAAAGAGCCAGGATTGCTTGGACACGTTTTGGTAGATTAGTACATTGTAACTCAAATTTCAGTAAAAGTAATTGTGAAAGCAATGTTGATAAGAGATCACGTGTTAATGTAGTTAAGCCGGAACCAAGCAACTCATTCACGGCTCTCAGTTGCGAAATTTGCTTCGGTGGTCACAAAAGGATAGACTGTACGAAGTTATTGAAAATGAATTTTATAGAAAGGAGACAAGAATTGGGAAGATGTGATCTATGTTACCTGTGTTTAAGGAAGGGTCACATAGCCAAGTCATACAACTGGGATATCAAGTGTGACGTTGGTAATTGTAAGGTTCTGCATAATTCATTGCTACATATTGATGGTGCTAATAACCGTGTAGTGAACTTAGTTAGGGATTGGAACTCGTCGAAGGTTTGTTTGGGTATCGTTTCGGTCAGGCTGTATGGTACACTATACAGAAGAACGTAGTCTGGCCTAATTGTTACGGGAGAACTGAAGACTTTTGATGGATTAAAACCTTTTATTGTACATTAATAATTTACTGTGCTTTTGGATGTAATTGTTTTACTTAACTTTTGAACTTGTTTGTTTATATCATTATTTCGGACATTTTGGTTTGTCTTTGGTTTGGTATTTTGGTGCTCCTTTTGTCTTTGGTTTGGTATTTGGGAGTTTTGCTCCGGGAACCTACAAAATTGAAGGTTTGTTTTGTAATTGTTATAATTATTGTTATTAGAACGACATTTGGTCGATTACTTGTGAATTACGAATAAATTTGGTATCTAAATTGGGACTTGGTTCTGTTGTTAATTTGGGTTCGTAATTTGCGAGTAGATCGATAGTCCGTACTTCAATAACTGGAACGAGCAAAACTTGGACGTAACAAAAAGTTCTTCAATTATTGGTTCTGTGTTCATACCTTGGGTTTTCTGGATATTTTGGGTCCGAATTCCTGGTCTTATTGGTCGATTTCGTTTGGATTAATTCAGATTTGTTTTGGCAATTGATTATTTGGAACAACAAATACGATGGAAACACGGAGTAAAAGGCTGAAGGAAAATGACGAAATGGATGGTAACATTTCTAAAGCTGTTTGTGGTATGTCTGATGTTATTGATGATAAATGTGATGATGTTAGTCTTAATAGTATGTCCTCTAGCCAGCTAAGTACTTCCAGATTAAAGTTAGATAAGGCATTACTGAGGAAAAGGAATTTAGAGAAGAGACTTGAGTTAGAACGGCAACTTAAGATGTTAAATCTACAAGAAGAGGTTGATATCGCTGAACTAGAATGTAAGGCCATCGAGGACGATGGACGATTACCCGTAGATAAATGTGGGACAAATGCTAAAGTGGAAAATTATTTGAATCATGATACTGGGTGTAATAATCACTCAGGGAAGGTCTGTGACATCTCAAATGTCGATTGGGTTGAGGAACTGAAGGACACGTTACATACAATGGTTAGTAACATGTCTTTACCTAAGATCGATATGATGTACTTTGATGGGCAACCAGGTCAGTATTACCGTTTCATTAGTCAGTTTAATAGCCTTATAGAGAGTAAATTGTCAGATAAGGGCCAATTGTTGTCGTATTTGTTATACTATTGTAAGGGAAAGGCCAGGACAGCTATTGAAGCTTGCATTTCATTGCCCATTCATCTGGGCTATGATAGAGCTAAACAGATTTTGTATGATTTATTTGGTAAAGAACATCTTGTTGCACGAGAACTTATTATTGAGTTATTAAACCATAAATCTGTCGGAGGATCAGCTGACTTATTAACTGACTTTGCGATTAAATTGCGTAATGTATGTATAACGTTGATGGAAATGGGATACATGTCTGACGTTAATTCTACGGCTAATTTGGAGGTAATAGTTTCATGTCTACCACTAGAATTGCAGAATAAGTGGGTGGAAGTCGCCGATAAAATCATGATGCATGGGAAGGAGCCGAGCTTCGAAGAATTTGTGGTCTTTGTAGAAGAGAGGGCCAGAATTGCCCGAACCCGTTATGGTAGATTAGTACAGTGTAACTCAAGGTTCGGTAAAAGGAATCCTGAAGGCCAAGCTGATAAGAGATCACGCTTTCATGCAATCAGACGAGACCCAAATAACTCAGTCAAGGTAACACGTTGTGAAATCTGCGTAGGTGATCATGAGGCGACAGATTGTCCAAGGTTGGCAAAAATGAAAGTAAAAGAAAGGAGGCAGGAGGTAAGAAAACGTGGTCTATGTTACTTATGTTTAAGGAAAGGTCACATAGCTATGACATGCAACTCAGGCATCAAGTGCGACGTTGAGAATTGCAAGGTTGGGCATAATTCATTATTGCATATTGATAGTATTGATAACCATGTGGTGAACCTAAATAAGGATTGGAACTCCTCAAAGGTTTGTTTGGGGATCGTTCCAGTCAGACTATACGGTCCCAAAGGATGTTTGGAAACATATGCACTTTTAGATAGTGGTTCGGACACTTCTCTTGTATGTGAAGAATTAATTAATCAGTTGGGTATCAAAGGTAAAGAGACTTCGATAAGGGTGGCGACTGTGAACGGAACTACCAATTGTGATTGTTTGGAGGTAAATTTAGAGGTATTTTCATTAGATGAACAGGGTTCTATAAGGATCAACAAGGTTTACACGACCAAGAAACTTCCAATCGATCATGCAACACCTTTAACCGAACTCCAACTGAAACGGTGGAATCATCTAAAGGACATAACCCTTCCGAGGTTGCAAAGTAATTTTGTAGGAATATTGATTGGGTGTGATGCTCCGGATGCACATTGGGTCCTGGAACAACGTATGGGGGACAGGAAGCATCCGTTTGCTGTGCGTACTCATCTTGGTTGGATGATTATAGGTCCTAAGGGAGTATCAAGGTCTCTACATCAAGTTCAGTGGTGTCATTGTTCCACTAATGATATTTTGCGAGATTTAGAAAGACTATATAATCATGAGTTCGAGGATGCAGATACGTTTCGTAATGGATATTCTGTCGAAGATAAAAAAGCTCTAGAAATAGTTAACAGTTCGTTTAGATTGAAGGGTGGTCATTTCCAAGTTGGTCTACCATGGAAGTATGATAAGCCAAGACTACCGAATAATTTGGAACTGGCTAAACGCAGATTAGAATGCCTAAGGAAGAGGTTTATGAAAGATAACAGTCTTTTGGAGAAATATCAAGTTGTGATGAATAAACATTTAAGTAAGGGCTACATCATTGAAGCTAGTGAAGAGGGATTTGACTGTGATGCTGTTTGTTGGTATATTCCTCATCATCCTGTTATCAACCCTAAAAAGCCTGGAAAATTAAGAATTGTTTTTGATTGTGCGGCTGTCTATCAAGGTTGTTCTCTTAATGACCAGCTTTTGAGAGGACCGAATACTGTAAATAGTTTAATTGGTGTACTTCTGCGATTCAGATTAGGTAACGTAGCGTTGGCTGCTGATATCGAGGAGATGTTTCTTCAAGTAAAGATCCCGAGACAAGACAGGGGAGCATTTCGTCTATTGTGGTGGGAAGACGGTGATATACGACGAACGGCTAAGGAATATTGTTTAACAGTTCATCCGTTTGGAGCCGTTTCCTCCCCCTTTTGCGCTAATTTTGCTCTTAAGAAGACGGTAGATATATTCGGTAAGGAATTCAATGAAGATATCCAGGATGTCGTAGATAGGAGTTTCTATGTCGACGACTATTTAGCCTCTATTGATAATGTACAAGACGCAATTGAGATGGCAAAGGCCCTTGGTTCTCTCCTCAGAAAAGGTGGATTTAGATTGACCAAGTGGATAAGTAACTGTTTACAAGTTCTTGAATCAATTCATCCAGAAGAGAGAGCAGAAGCCGTAAGAGAGACTGACTTTGAAAGACTTCCTACTGAACGCACGTTGGGATTATTTTGGAATACTATGGTTGATTCGTTCGAATTTAAAGTTCACATACCGAAACGCCCCCTCACTAGGCGAGGTATATTGTCAAGTGTAGCCTCACTTTATGATCCTCTGGGATTGGTAGCACCGTTTATACTTCCCATGAAGCAGTTACTTCAACGTTTAGGTAAATTGGGACTAGGATGGGACGAAGAGATTCCGAATGAGGAAAGCAAACGCTGGTTAGAGATTTTAAGTGAATTTCAGAGGGTTGAGAACGTTAGTTTTCCACGTTGTGTATTGTCTCCGTAATCAGAACGCTCGCTCCTGGAACTTCATATTTTCAGTGATGCATCGGAAACTGGGTATGGTGCGGTAGCATACGTT